AGGAGGATGACGCTGTCAGCCTTATTGAGTTTTCAACAACTCTTTTAAACCTGACCTCTACCGCAGAGTCGTTGGATTTGGAAATGTACTTAATAAATCCTCTCTTGTTGAATGAACTTTTAAGTAAGCTCCCCTATACTCTGAAGTACAGGTGGGCTGAACATGTAAATAGCATGCATTTAGAAAAACCTACTGACCTGAAAGTATTCTGTAACTGGCTTGAAAACCAGTGTTCCATTATGAGTATTTATTTTCGTCCACCTGAGGAGACAACGCGGAAGAGAAACCAGTCAACCAGAACCAGTTTTTACTAATTCGCCCAATGAAAACGTTTGCATGTTTTGTTCGGAGAGTCACGAAACCGATAAATGTAAGCTTTTCAGAAAAGCAGAAGTCGCGCAGCGGTGGAAGATGATAATTGAGAAAAAACTGTGTTTCTTTTGCTTCCGTCGTCACCACATCAAATTTTGTAAGTTAAAGAAACCTTGTGGAATCAATGGGTGCAAACTATCCCACCATCGCCTTCTGCATACTGACAGTGCCTCTAAAAATTCCCAAGAAATCAGCCGGGACAGAGCACAGAACACTTTCAGGCAGGAAGGTCAATCGAAAGAAGAAATTATAAGCAATCACTCGGTAAATAACCGTGTTTTACTAAGAACATGTCCAGTAACGTTATATGGTCCAAGCTGTCAGATCGACACATATGCACTTTTAGATGATGGTTCAACCATATCTCTGCTAGATTCGACTACTGCCGATAAATTAGGCATCAGTGGTAGCATTGAACCCCTTACCACTTGTTGGTCAAATGCAACTAAACATTTTGACCCAACGTCCAGACGAGTTGAACTTAAAATAAAAGGGTTCTATGAAGATGAAATTTTCACATTAAGTAATGTAAGAACTCAATCACCTCTAGATTTACCCCAACAGTCGATTGACTCAGTAAAGCTTCGTGAGAGATGGCCTCATTTAAAGTCAATAGATCAACCTTTACCAACATCTCATGTTAAACCTACCATTTTGATAGGTCAAGATAACTGTGACTTGTTATTGACCAGAAAAGTTATTGAAGGTCCGCCAAATGCTCCCGTCCTGTCATGGAGCTACCTAGGGTGGTCAATGCATGGCAAGTGTCCAGAATTTACTGGACGTGTTGACGATTTCACCCTATTGTCCTTTGATCACGACAGATTACATGATTTGGTGAAAAGTTCCTTTGAAATTGACAACTACGGTGCATCTCCAGTAGAAAACAAATCAATAAAATCGGTAGAAGACGAACGTGCAATGTCAATCTTGGAAAAAACAACGAGGAAAATCGGAGAACGTTATGAATCTGGCTTGTTGTGGAAATCAGATGATTTTAAATATCCCTCGAGTTACGATAAAGCTCTTAAAAGACTAAAACACATTGAAGGGAAGATGGCAAAGGATCCTTCCTTTAAAGACGAATACACAAGGAAGATTGCCGACTACAAGGAAAAAGGGTATATTCGAAAACTAAGTGAAGATGAGGCAAGTATTTTAAATGATCATACTTATTATCTACCTCATTTCGGAGTTGTGAACCCCAATAAGCCCAACAAATTAAGATTGGTCTTTGATGCAGCTGCAAAGTCGAACGGTGTATCATTTAATGACGCTCTTCTTAGTGGACCTGACCTTTTGAATCCATTACCAGCTGTTCTCGTAAAATTTCGTCTGGGAAAATTTGCTGTCGCTGGTGATATTAAGGAAATGTTCCATCAGGTACGCATAAGGAAAGAAGATGTAGATTCACAGAGATTTTTGTGGAGGCAAAACACGAATGATCCTCCAGATACGTATGTAATGGAGGTGATGACATTTGGGTCGACCTGTTCTCCAAGCACTGCTTTATATGTAGTGAACGAAAATGCCAAACGTTTCTCATCCATCTACCCTGAAGCTTCTAAATCAATTCTCACTAAGGAATACATGGATGATTTATTAGACTCTGTCAATTCTGAGGAAGAAGCAAAGACTCGAGTGAAAGAAATAATGGAAATTCACAAATCAGGTGGATTTCAAATTTGCAATTGGCTATCAAACTCCAAAGATGTTTTATCTGGAATTCCTGAAGAACTGAAATCAAATTCAACTAAGCAATTGAAGCATGATAGCAATCTTCCCACTGAACGAGTTCTCGGAATGTGGTGGGATTCAGAAAGCGACAATTTCGTATTTCATCGCAATGCAGAAAAGTTGCAAAAAATGGAATCAAGTTATCCAACAAAACGTGAGGTTTTGAAGGCTGCGATGTCTATCTTTGATCCTTTGGGACTAGTCACCCCTACTACAATCAAAGGTCGAATATTAGTGCAAGAGATTTGGAGAACAAAAACAACATGGGATGAAGTACTAACAACAGGACTTACTAAGAAATGGCAAGAATGGTTGGAAGAAGTTAAACAACTACAATATTTTACCATTCCGAGATGCTATTTCAAAACCCTTATGATAAATGATGTTGAGCTTCATGTCTTTGTCGATGCAAGTGAAGAAGCGTACTCCGCTGTTGGATATCTAAGACATAAGAATACTAACGAGAATACTGGATACAACACTATGTTGGTTATGTCGAGAGCAAAGGTGGCTCCTCTAAAACCAACTACCATACCAAGACTGGAACTACAAGCTGCTGTCCTTGGATGTAGGCTTGTTAAAACAATTATACACGACCTAGACATCAACATCGTCCGAAAAATATTTTGGTCAGATTCTGTTACGGTGTTACATTGGATAAAATCTGATCCGAGAAGCTTTAAACAATTTGTTTCTAACCGACTTGTGGAAATACTTGAAGTTTCACAAGCTGATGAATGGAAGTGGGTACCATCAAAAAATAACCCTGCTGATGTCGCTACGAGAAGCAACCAGAAATTCACTACAAGTAATCATGAATTTTGGACTTATGGCCCCGAGTTTCTAAAATACGACTCAAGTCATTGGCCACAGCAACCAACAACCTTGCAAACAAAAAACAGCGAAGAGGTGAAACAAAAGTTCGTTGGGTTACTCAACGAAGACAAAGAAGACGTTATCAATATTGAGAGATTTTCTTCCTGGAATAAGGTAACACGAGTAACTGCGTGGGTTCTGAGATTGGTATATTGCAATCCAGGATCAAAAGAAATGACAAAGACAGACAGAAGAAGAACTCTAACCCCAGATTGATACTGGAACTTCAACCAGATGAAATTCTTAAGGCTGAACACATCTTAGTGTTGAATTCCCAAGACAAAACTTTTAAAGAAGAAAAGACCTTATTAAGAAATAACAAGTCACTACCGAAGTCAAGTAAAATATTCACATTGGCTCCTTTCGTTGACGAGAAAGACCTCATCAGGATGTCTACAAGAATACGAAATTCTCCTGAAATCAGTACTGAACGAAGATATCCAATTATTTTAGATGGAAAATGTCAAGTAGCAAGACTTATTGTGAAGAACTTCCATGAAAAATGCTTCCACCAAGGAATAGAAACCGTAATGAACATGACAAGAGAACGGTTTTGGATACTTAATCTTCGCACAACAGTGAAGAAAGTGCAAAGAAGCTGTATGCGTTGTAGGATTGACAACGCCAAACCAAGTCCACCTCAAATGGCACCCCTGCCAATGTCACGAGTAGTCAAGGCACAGTATCCTTTCTTTTACACTGGTGTTGACTATTTTGGCCCAATTGAAGTAACTGTTGGCCGAAGACATGAAAAGCGATACGGTGTAATATTTACATGCCTTTCTACACGAGCAATTCATCTCGAAGTGGCTCATTCGTTAAGTACGGAGAGTTGCGTTATGGCAATTCAAAGGTTTATAAGTCGGAAACCTTGCCCTTCTGAGATGTTTTCTGACAATGGTACGAATTTTGTAGGAACAGACAATGAACTTCGAAATGCTGTGAAGTCTTTAAACAACGCCCAGATTCAACGGACAGTCGTAAAGAGTGGGATTAAATGGAATTTCATTCCTCCCCGTGCGCCACACATGGGGGGATGTTGGGAGAGACTGATAAGGTCAGTAAAAACAGCATTGAAAAGTGTCATGCGATCCCAGTACCCGAAAGATGAAGAACTGCAGACGTTTTTGACTCGCGTTGAGTTTATTATTAACTCACGTCCACTCACACACTTATCAATTGACCCGTTGGACCCTGAGCCGATCACACCAAACCACTTTCTACGCGAAGCCTACAAAATAAATATTGATGAAGATAAACTATGTAAGAAACAACTAGCCCGCGTAAGAACACTTTTGGATAGTTTTTGGAAGCGTTGGGTCCAAGAATACCTGCCCTGTTTATCAAGACGTTGTAAGTGGCACAAACGAACAGAACCGCCTCAAGTAGGGGACTTGGCTATAATAGTAGAAGAAGACAATCAAAGGAATTCATGGCCTCTTGGAAGAATATCAGCCATTTACCCCGGTAAAGATGGCGTTATACGAGTTGTGGACATCAAAACAACCAAAGGTACATTCCGGCGCCCTCTTACCAAGGTCGCAGTTCTTGGGGGGGAGAGAATGTAATAAATAATCTATGTCTAATCTATGCCTGCCTTATTTCATATACAGTTTAACTAACATATGTTTATTGATTATTATGATTTTTGTAAACAGTCAAATAAATACACATCTTTTGTGAAGTCCTAATAGTCTTTTATCTTGTCTGTCTATAATATTTTAACAGTTGCTGTTTCAAAATGTATGTTGTCGAAGATAAGGAGAAGGATGTATTGGCAAGTGAGGCTGTGGTTCTTGATTTGATGCAACCTTTTATGCATACAGGTTACATTGTATATCTTGACAACTGGTATTCTTCCCCTCTCTTATACACCAAATTAGCCCAAAATGACACTCATGCTGTAGGAACAGGAGGTGTATGCCTCAGGCATTCAAGGAAGCTAAACTGGAAAAAGGAGAAGCATCAAACAGTCTGGGTTTTAGCTATCAAATGGAGTGATAGGAAAGATGTCCATATGTTGCCATCCATGCACGAGGACATTGATATGACAGTTTTTAAGAAAGTCAAACAAGGAAATCAGGAAATTGACATAGTAAAACCAAAATGTATCATTGAGTACAATCGATGTATGTTGGGGGTTGACCGGCAGGAACAAGTCCTGTCTAGTTTTACCATAACGGGCGTACCGTCAAAGCATAAAAGAGGATATTTTTTTTATTTAATGGACATGACCCTGCATTCTGTGTCTATAAGAAAATCAAAGCATGCATTACACTGATTTTCGGTTGAATTTTGTGGAACATATATTGACAACCATGCCAATTCCAGCTAGCGCTCCTATCGCAGCATCACCGTTAAGGCTACAATCAAAACAGTGAGCTCCATGGGAAATTAATTGCTGCTAAAGGTCTTGCGCAAGTTAAAATCAATGGGTTAAAGTAATTATTGTTTCAGTCAGGCTCATGGGTGATTTGTTGTATAATATAGGAATTGTATGATTTACAAAACATTTTTCCATTTCTAGAATTGGTTCAATTGGTTTACACTTCTACCAGTTGAATTTCAATGTAGTTAAAGTTAGATTCATATTATACTTTTGTTACAATATCCACTATTCATAGTGACTTTAGTCTGACAGTGACAGTTAAAAAGAGGTGTTACTGTCTATCTATAAATTTAATATAGACTATATACATGCCGCTGATATAGAAATAAATATGCATATGTATTCTTTAAATATTTCTGTAAATAGACTTGACAAAAAATATATAACATTACATTAAATTTCAATATGTCTAGATGTCACTTGGTAGATGACTTACTTATGTGCAATTCACACAACCGAGACTAGCATGTTACACAAAAAGTCTTTTAACACGTTGTGCAGAAAGCATAACTAAATTCACAAATTTAACTAAAATTGTATCAATTAATAAGCTTTTCGCTTGCGGTTAGTTTCGTCCATCGTCATGAAATGCCAGTAGTACCTAAGCCAACAGTACAGAACGCCCATAGCGCAGTGTACTGAGGTCAACATGAGCGGAAGGAACGGATACTTGGCTGTCAGACCTATCAGAGGAAACACAGCGTACTCTGTGACAAACAGAGCTGCAAGACTAAACACGTAGAGAGACTCGGCGACCGAGAGCAGTGGCAGATGTCGACCCTCGGTGATGTCGAACAGTGAGGAGAGTTTCTGGAATGCGTACACAGAGTGCAGCAGGAACAAAACCACCTTGATGTAGTTCTCCGACGGAGTAAAGAGTAGAGGGAATAGAGAGAAGTGGCCCACAGTGGACAACAGAAGGTAGACTTGAGCCTCCTTACGCCACACCACAGCCAGCAATCTGCGGGACAACACACTCTGTTAATTCTGTCCAAAGCTTTTGAATGTTTAACTTAGGATAAAGTTTGTTTAAGAAATGCTCAATAGGTATAGTATTGCGTTCTATAAATACTGGCTAGGTAGAAGAGTTTGTGGTAATGCTCACTTAGTTTTAAGATTGCTAGTTTATACCTAGTTTATACCTGCGAATTATCAATTATGGATATTGCACTCTTAGTTACATTGGACCTTTTACAATAGACATGCATACTTCACAAATTATAGTTACAGTGTCATATTTAGGTGTGTGAATATTCAAAATCTGAATAGTAATTTAATACTACACACCTATTTCAAGGACAATATTTATTTCATCGTTATAAAAGTCACCCTGTCAACCACTGAAAAGACTGTCAACCATTCTTTCCTCAACGTGGTTTGACGTACACCGTACGCAAGGCAAATGCCGTCTGCACTGTGGTTTGACGTACATGGTAGCACAGTGACAGGCCGCCGCGTGCTGCTACCCACGGCAGTTTAGCGAACTGTTTCGTGTCTAGTTTGTGTTTATTGAGCTGTGTTGTAAACTCAGTGTAATTTTAAGTTTTTAGGGGATTAATATATATAAATGACTTATTTTTTAGTATCAATAGCACATTCAAATGAAATTTATAGTTGGATTGATGACGATGAGACACTTTTATCAGATCCAAATGATAATGAAGACTTTGACTTTGCTCAGCAAGAGGTAGGCCTATAATGAGAGCCTAAGGAATGAGGTAATGAGGGGGAGAAATTTGATCTTGACAATGATGATCCTATTGTAAATAATGTTTGTATTATTGAAAATATCATTGAGGATGTAGTGGGAGGTGCAGGTTGAAATTCAGTTAGGGATGACCATTGCACCTTGTCAAAAATTGCGAAACACGCTGGAATAGCGAACACCGCATGTTGTTACACTTCCTAGAATTGAAACAACCAATTTCTGCTGATTTTGCCAGTGCAGTCAAAATTGAAAACTTAACATCGAATGAATAGGAACTAGCTGAGGGCTACACAGTTATTCTAAAGCCCCTAGATAGTGGGACTACATTGGCCTCAAGTAGTTCCTTGCCTACTCTTATATATGTTTTGCCAATTATTGATGGCATAAGCTCAGTTTTAAAGAAGTACATACAAACTGGCAAGAAGGGAGTCATGTTCGCAAAGGCTTTGGAAAAATCAATAAAGACCAGATGTCCAAAAGCTCAATGCCTTTTTTAGGCCCCTGAAACCTGCCTGGAGGGATGTCCTATGCACATGGAAGTTGAATGCAGATCGTCGGCTCTCCAACCTGGCAAAAAAACATTTCCCAACTCTCCTAAATGACCTGATGTGTGCTATCATCCCCAATGCTGCTAAAAACCTTCAAGACGGATTTAAGGTGTGTGGAATCGTACCCCTAGACCCCCAAGTAGTTTTAGAAAAACTTCCCACCACCACACAACCAGAAACCCCAACGAAGAAAGCCAGAAATTCGGTTGGAGAAGGGGTAATAGAATTACTCTCCAAGCTTGAACTCTTGGCGCAGCCAGAAGAAAGGTAAAAAAAAGGCTTAATGTCGTACCAGGGAAAAGTGTTTCCCAAGACGACGTGCTTGAGAGCTCAAACCCCTCAATTTCTACTGGTGTCGAACATCTGACAGCACCATCTGACTTGTCTCCACCCAGGAAGAGGAAGAGGAAACAGATCGAAGACGAATCGGACTTGAGCTCCAACCCTGATGATGACCTACTTTCGCTGAAGGAATTTTCGGAAGAGTTAAATGAAGATCTACCAGAAGATGAAAAACATTTAGTGTTCAAAGACTCCGAAGTCGGTGATTGGCTGTTAGTTAAGTTCTCCAGGAATAAGAGTAATCCCAGAGCATTGTTGTAAGCGAGGTGGGAGAAAAGAGAGTGTTTACTATAGTTCGGCATTGGTTTAACATTAGCATTGGTTTAGCATTAGCGCGCAGGTCGTTTTCTAAGCGGCCGAACTATAGTGTCCTGACTGCCAAGCTGGACTTTGCCTTGTCAACTGATTGAAGGATTACCACACCAAACTTTTCTTTCAATACTTGTCTTTTTCATAACAGCCTTGATACATCGGTCAAAACCTTTTTGAAAAAAAAAACAGAAGCTGCTTCTTAGAGCATTATTACTTCTTGCTAACTGCCCTGAACATCCTGATGCAGACAAATTAAGGAATGGTAATGGTAACATCTGGGCTCTATTTTTGCTTCCAAATGTAGTAAAAGTTGTGGCCTACTCTGAGGTTACTACAGGATTACGAAAAACAGAATAAAAGTAACTCGCCTTTGGCTCGTCACCACCCCATTGTGGGGTGGTGGCTAATTAGCAGTAGTTGGTAATTAAATTTTTGCAGATTGAGTTTTATAAAGGTGTTGGTAAAAAATGGAAATAGTAAATGAGGAATTGTGTATGTATTGACGAAAGTAACATTGGTTTAAATTGAAAGTTTTAGTATATAAAGTTAGAGGATTGTAGTAAAAATTCATATGTATTAATAAAATAATATTAATAATATTGTGGGTAGTCGTTACAAGTAACGTTAGCAGATCGAGGTTTTTGTGCAATGAAATTAGTTAAAAGAAGAGTAAAGAAGAATGTAACAATTTTGTATATGAATTTTTGGTATAAATAAATAAATAAACCCTAAGACTTGAAATCACTCATTAATTACCAAACAAAGCAGATAGTAAACAATCCCTTGTTACAACTAAACAAATTAGGATTGCCTGTCCCTGAACATCTAGTCTACATTTATATTTTAATTTACAGTATCTAGTTATGTGTTACCTGTAATAAATATGTATTTAATATAACTATTGGTTGTACTCAAAACGTTTCTGGGAGTACCGTAAACGAAAAGATCAGCAGAACCAGGGAGAACGGCCCGCGGGGCGATTTATAAAGAACCTCTTTGCGTTACTAATTACTCCATTACTCACGACTAGAAAATGTTATTTGAAATTGCTTGGTTATATGCTGAAGATCATCTCATTAGCTACAATTTGTCGCTTAAAGTTTGTTTCTGACCAAAAAATAAAAAAAATCCTCGCTTAGTAACTTTTTTATGTCAAGGTGTGATATTTGTTTAACATTTTTAGTTGTTAAAATTCAAATTACGATTTAAATAAGACGAGGTATTAGCCCGTCCTACGTACGGGAATTCAGTAGTCAGTTAAAACCGTGTACAATTCAGATAAGCTAGTTTACACATATAAAGACAAAGTGTCTTGCAGTTTTAATGTGAAAAATCATCTTTAAACAAATGTTGTGTGACCAAATAAGTTTTAATTCCATCATAGGCCTATACAATATGCATTTTAAATCTGATAATTTTACAATAAAACAGCAATTCTGCAATTTTTACGATGTGAAATGCGTTGAAGTGAGATTTGCAGCCGATTCGCACAGACGCACACTGATAATAAGTAGCCTACAGTAGAGAGAGCAATAGCTTTGACTATTAACCCTTTGTTTGTGCGAAAATTGCCGGCATGCGCAATAGCGCACGTCTTCAATGTTGCGAAAATCGCCGACATGCGCTATAAAGCACGTCTGGTTTTTCGGACTTATTGGTCTTATAGGTTAACCAAATGCCACAAAACTCGAGATATTCCATGTCTATACTCTAAAGAAAACACTTATAAACATTTTTATACTCTATGAGCCGTATAACCTATGAAGTTACACATAAGATTTTGCCATTGGTCTGTGCGTTCTAGACTTGTACTCTGTGACTCTGTGCCGTTGTCTATCGTCTGTCATCTTGAGTTCGTGTTTTGTAAATGATGAATGTTATTGTTATTGTTTACGATTGTTTTATTTGTGGTTTAGTCTGTGAAGTATGGTGTGAAGTGTTTGTAATATAAAGAAAAATGAGTAAAAGGAGTAGGCCGAGTAGGCCTGGACGTAAATCTCCAGTTAGTGAAGGCACAATCGTGAGTAACCTTTTGCAGGATGATGACATAAACTTTGTTGATGAAGAGCTTAGTGATAGCTTTGTTGAGAACATTTCGGACTCCGAAACAGAGCCTAGTTCAGAATCAGAGGATTCTGATACTAGTTCTGATTCTGACTGCAGCTCAAAGTCAAGTCTTGGATGTTTAGGTCCAGGTTTCGATGACGATACCGACCAAGATCCTGACTATGTATCAGAATCAAGTGATGAGGATTCGGATTGTGAAATGTCCCCTAAGAGGAGACATAGGCTTGGCCCTGTTCCACCCTCAGTAAATAATGTAATCGAAGATGTTGTAAATGCCTACGCAAATCAAGCTTCTCCTTATACCTCTGTTGACGAAATAATTGAAGATGTTGTGGCAAATTATGAAATTCCTCCATCACCTATCAATGACCCTAGGCCTAATGCAAATGAAAATGTCGATGAGAATGAAAATGATAATGCATGGACTGTAATTGAGGAAAATAATGACCCTGATTTTGTACATAGTTTCAATTTTGACTGTCTACCAAAGGAACGGCAAAATCAGTGGAAGCCAGAAGACAGAAAAGGCATGAAGGAGCTATAAAAATGAAACCCGAAATAATAAACAATTATAACATGTACATGGGAGGGATTGATGGCTCTGACCAAATGTTGTATTGCTACCTGGATGAGCGGAGGACGGTCAAATATTGGAAGAAGGTAGTATTCAACATATTTTCAAGAATGATCCTGAACGCCTATATAATTTATAAAGAAAATAGTTCAGGTAAACAGTTGTCCCGGTTCCAGTTTACAAATGCAATCATTGAGGAACTGTCTAGTGAATGGCTACGCCAGAGAATTCTGCAACATACTCCGATGCATGGAGGTGGCGATAATGCAGGAGCGCAGGCTCAATTTGGCATAGAGTCTCTTCCAGGTAGAATGCTCAAAAACTGTAGTGTTTGTAGTCTTCAAAGCACAAGTGCTGGGGGTAAAAGGAAAAGGAGCAGGACAATATGCAAGATGTGTAAGAAGGGTGTTCACCCAACTTGTTTTGGGGAACACAAGTGTCGATGATGGAGAACGTTACACAAACGTGCAAATAACTTTTGTAAATATCCGCAGACATTACATTATTATACCTTTTGTGTTTTTATAGGCCTATTTTTTGTAATTTATTTCCAAAACTGAAACAAAAAATCTAGCCTACTTATTTTGATTACCTACTGATCTTAGTCGATTAGATTTAGAAGTCGCTGCCTATATGTGTAGAGGGTTAGCCGCCATTTTCTTTTCCTTCGGAAAACATCTAGGCCTACAGACATTGATGTACTATTATTATAGTGGTTTTATTAGACTAGTGTTTTTTGTGTTTTATAACATCTGCAATTTTGAAGCAAGAATCCTAATTTTGATGACTGGACTATAGTGTCAGTAGAGATGCGCGACCTGGAAAGTTTTTGAAGATTATCACATTTTGAAAAAAAAAAGATATCTCCTTTATTTTTCAAGGTAAGGGCCTGAAACTTTGTGTGTGTGTTTAGAAATGCATGCTTTATAACATAGGCTACTAACATAGGTAGAGGAATAAGTATTAGGGGTGATTATTGTAGCACAAACTAAAAAAAAAAATAAAAAATAAAATAAATCTTTTATGTTTTTTTTTACAAAAAAAATATTAAAAAATTTTTTTGAGCCAAACTAATTTTACTTCAAACAAGGGATTCAAATGGAGTAAAACAATACCTTATTTGTTAATTTTGGATAAAAAATAAAAAAGTTACAACATTTTTTCAAAAGTTCTACGTTTTGCCCAAATTAAGCCCGGCAGTCTTAGCATGTCAATATTACAAGTGGTGTGGCATTTTTAGCAACAATGAAAAAAAAAATGGCCGGCAGTAAAAGGGTTAATACAACACTTCTTTATATTATACAACTTCTGTATCCAATAGTCAATGGTAATAGTCAATTGAGAAGTGTATAGACCTAGTCAGAATCGCCTGGGGGCGCTGATATAGGCACCCCCAAACGAAACCACAACTGAACACGATTTCATAAAAGAATGGTTTGTCTAATTGCAGTATCCTAAGTGAATGTGTTCCATCTATGTCATCCATCTGTTTATCTTTGTATAAAACCCGGCTGAGGTTGTGGTGGTAATTTAAAATCGTGATTCCTGATTATTATTGATCTTCTTTTTATGACATCAATATTTCCGGGCATAATCCAAACAAAGTTAAAGCAGACAAACATTAATTGTAAACAAAAAGCTACCATGAAGAATTAAAACATGTAAACATTGTTATTTTTCTATTCTTTCCTTGAAAAGTGGAGCAGTAAAATAATTTGCATTTATCCTTTTTTATTAAGACTCGTGTACAGAGCCTCGATTTGTACTGTGGTCTAAACTATTTTAAACTGTGGTCTAATTATCTCTACTAATCTTACTTATTTCCTATAATCAATGACAAAATAAGAGTAAATAAAATAACCTCATGGTTCCATAGTTTATATTTAACCAGCTGTTAGTTAAAACAAATTATGTTGCACTAAAACAAACCGAAGATTGCAAAGATTTTTATTTAAGAAATCCTTTGAACATCCTAGTATATTTAAAAAATCTGTCATCCTCTTATCGAAGGATTGAACGTATCAATGATTAGCATTACACATAGTATAAATAAGTCAACCCTAAGTATGTCTTTACATTTTTATCCAAATGCTGAATTTGTGACACAAAAGCTGAATGTTTACAGCTGTTATGTTAAGCAAATTATTTTATGCCAAAAGCTAGTTTAGAATCTTAGCGTCGGCTGCTAGACTTTTTAAAAATTAAAACTTAATTTCTAAAAAACTGGGACCCTAAACTAAAATTATGGCTTTGACATTCCCTAGTTCTCAAAATTATCTTTCTTTCAACACAAAAATCATGAAAATCCGTCGAGTGGTTGATTCAGAATCGTGAAATAAAAAAACACTGTTTCGTTTTAATATTATAGATTATATTTATACTGTCAGATTCTGCAGCTAATGCAGATTCCGAATATATAACTTCAATTGCAGTCAACCTATTGTATGCACGGCCAGGAGCGTATTAACAACCGCGTGCACGGCTTGAGGAACTGACATATCTGCATCGAGTCCCCCTTTGTGGTGGGGGAAGGTTGCTGAAACGGCGCGCTTTTTATCCCAAATCTCCTATCTACCAGTTGTGTTATATACTTCGATGGACATGACCCATGGAATAAAGTTAGGCCTTATATCAATGAACTAAATAACAATTTTAGATCACATTTCGTACCCAACCAACATATTTGTATTGAATCACTCATAGGAATGAAAAATAGAGTGACATACATACGGTACAAGCCAAACAAAAGGCACTGCCGCTTTGGCCTAAAAAAGTTTGAAATCTGCGATAGTGAGACAAGCTATGTTTTGTATTCAGAATTGTACAGTGGTAAAAAATTCCTATCTGGTGGAGATGATCCCTAGCACAGAAAGTGACCTAGACATCTATTGACCCAGACTAATTTTTTATTTAAGGGATACCATTTATTCACAGATAATTGGTATACAAAAATACTCTAGCTGAAAAACTCCTAGACCGACATACCTAACTGGAACTGTTAGAAAGAACAGCAAAGATCTCTCTAAGAGCCTTTTATCAAAGAACCAACAGCCTATATAAATTGTGTATTTTCGAAAAAAAGATATACTCTTGGTGGGTTTAAAGAAACTAAAAAAAGGAAACCGGTCTATTGCCTTACTACTGCCTGCCATGCGGAAAACCTGCTAGTCAGAAGCAACAGTGGGAATGAAGCTATCAAACCTCCTCTGATCAAAAAGTATAATAAGTACATGGGAGGTGTGGATGTAAAGGACAAATGTATGTACCACAACACCTGTTCAAGAGGCACCAGAAAATACTGGAAAAAATCTTCACAAACTTCATCGACATGTCCCTGCACAATGCCTACATCTTGTACAAGTTCAATACCGACAAACCACTCAGCAGAAGGGAATTCTTAGTTTCCATAGTAACTGATCTTACCAGGCCTCAGGTTGAATCCCCAACTAGAACACATAATCCGAATCATAATGTCCTGTCACCGACTCACCAGCTGACCCTCCTACCTAACAAGAACAATTGCCTTTGCTCTGTTTGTGAATCTAAAGGCATAAAGAAGCGAACCAGTTACTTCTGCCCTGGGTGTAACTGTGGAGTGCACCAAAACTGCTACCACCTTCTGGAACACTACCCTAGGCCTTTGAGAAGCGGTGGACGGAAGCGTGCTAGGGATTCAAGTGATTCGGAGTAAAGTAGGCCTAAACTGAACACACAATGTAGGCCTATCTAGGCCTAGGCCTATTTGTAAATAATGTAAATATGTTGACATCTTTTATTTTATTTGTATGTGTTAGTTTATAGAATAGGCCTATAACTTTAGCAGTTTTATGAAGACTAACATCATGTAAGTGTATAGTAACTGTTGTGAAGTGTTTTGGGAATCAGGTAAAGTTCGGAGACTGTGTTAGTAGTTCGGGATACAAAAACAATAGCCTACAAACTCATTGTGTAAGTATTAGCTAACTGCCCTGGATAAAAGAACTGCCACAACCTGCATGGACAATATTCTTAGCCACCTATAGTATGAAATCATATCCAAACCAAGAACATGATGTCGAGCGAATCAGAATAATGTTATTGGAGGGATTGTATTTATGTATGTAAGTAAATAAATAACCTTTTGCATGACTTTTTTATTCATTAGCTAATTTCATAAAATTTTAGATATAGGCCCTTTGCACGTGATTGTATGTAATATATTAGTGTATAAGGTGTACGGTTTTGTACATGACCTGGGTTGGATGATTATTTGGTACTAGCACGGGGGTACGGTCAACATAATAATAGGGCTATCAAACAAAATACACAAAATAAGCTATATAAACTATATATTTTTGGAATCAGCACAAAATTTACTACAATTTTACAATTTACCTTATGATGATAAGTCTTACCTGCACTTAGCTACACAGCGGAATATAAACACATTTTATAAAAAATTAATAATGCCTACAATTCGGAAAAACTAGAAACATTTTTTTGTGGTAACCATGTAAACCACCTATATTATTGTTCTTTGTCTTATTCTGAACAAGATGATATATAATAATCCATAGTTATGTTGCTATTTCTAATTTTTATGATGGTTTATAAATTATATTACATAATCAATAATATCCCTATGCCAGTACAGCGTTACACTGGTGCCAGCTCTAGGGTTAATGGATTATTCATACTTCCAACATATGCTACTTGAGTTTTACAAAAGTAGTGTACCGTTTTGTTTTATGATCTCTTTGTATTTACCAATTTGTATAAATTGTTTTTAATTAAAAACTTGGTTTATTATTATTTTGTCGGAGTCTTACTTTCATCTTTGCTTTATAGGATATCACATTGAATTAGTAGGATATTCAAAATAGAAAATATCAATGAGGGATTTAAACTCCATAGATTGAAATGGAAATATATTGTACAATACTTACTTATACATGTATACTTAAGAGCCAAAATTAGGCCATGGGTAAAATGTAAATATTTGCTCAGTACTATTCCATATTCGAAAATATTATTTGATTTGATTTGATTTTAACCCAAAAATTGCTATTCGCACACTCCTAGAACTGACTTCTGAGTACCCTCAGTCTAACGAACCCATTATTTTTATTTTCCCATCCTTTTCTATATCAGTGGAGTTGACATACTTACGTTAGAGGTACAATGACAATGAGAATGGCCTTCTCGTGTACGTGCCACCCAAACATAAAGGCTGAGAGAGCGCAGAGCACCAAACACCTGACAAAGTGGAGTGGGTTGCCTGGGCACTTCCACAGCTTCACCAGGCTAGGCTGTGAACATCAGAATCAACTTTTCATTATAAGCAGTAAACATATTATTAATGAGATAAACTTTTCTGGCACACCTGGTGTAAATCCTTGTAATAGGGGAGAGTGGGGGAACTGTGCGCAGCGGGTAATTGGGCGCACCACTTTTTTTTCAAATTTCAAAAAATCGTAGCGTGCTCCAGTCGGTGCTGAAACCTAGCGGAGGGAGTAGGAACTGATATTCCCGCTCACCACGCCGCCATTACAACAGCCAGTGACAGCACGGTATAGGTTATGTTGTTATATTTGTCGCCCATGAAATAAGAAGGTAAGCCTTTGCATTAATCTTTAACTTACTAAATCATAGTTATTATTAATCTTTAAGTCTTTATGAATACGTAGGTGTGTCTGAAACCCCGGTATACGCGATATTTTCCTTTATATGTCCAAAACTGAATTTCGCGACTGTTTCGGGTAACTGTGCGCAGCGGTGCGCACAATTCCCCCTCATGTGATGCAATGGTAAGCTTGTAACATTCATTTATTTCCTTCCAGATGCCCAGAAACTACGTCAGGAAGACAGAAAAACAATCATATTCTATCGAGACACTAAATAAAGCACTTCACGACATCCGAGAAAATAAAAAAAATACGGGAAGCTGGGAGAACTTACGGAATTCCTGAATCGACCTTAAGGAAACAGCTTTTACTGGGCTTAAATCAAGTGAAAGTTGAACCTCTTGGTCGTAGGCCCCTTTTTCATCCGGAAACTGAACTCCAGCTCAAGGACTACATATTGACACTTTGCAATTTGTTTTATGGCATCACGCCAAAGGAATTGAGGCGTCTCGTATTCAATTATGCAGAATCGAACGAAATTAAACATAATTTCAATAAGGATTTGGGCCTTGCAGGCAAGGATTAATTGTACGGATTTCTAAAGCGTAAACCAGAAATAAAACTAAGACAACCTGAAGGCACTAGCATTAACAGAATTTGTGCTTTTAACAAAGAAGAAGTTGGTTTGTTTTATTCCAACTTAGAATCTGAATTAAAGGAAAATCAATTCCCTCCTCATCGAATTTATAACCAGGACGAGACGGGAATTACCACCGTTCAAAAGAGATGCCCAAAGGTTTTGGGACCCAAGGGGGCAAAGAAGATAGGCGCTGCTACATCAGCTGAAAGAGGCAGAAACATCACCGCTCTATTTGCAGCAAATGCAGCAGGGCAATTCATCCCTCCCCTGATGGTGTACCCGAGGGCAAGAATGTCACCGTTATTGCAGCGAAATGGACCCCTTGGAGCTGTCTATACGTGCACTCCAAACGGCTGGAGTAACGAGGATGTGTTTTTAAAGTGGCTGAATCATTTCAAAGACCATGCTCACCCTACGGAGACTGATCCAATTTTACTTCTCTTGGACAACCACAGTAGCCATATTTCGTTGGAGATTTATGAGTTTTGTAGGAAAAACTTCATCCACGTTGTTTCTCTGCCTCCCCACACCTCTCATAGGCTCCAACCGCTTGATTTGACATTCTTCGGTCCTCTTAAAAACATGCTATATAGAGAGTATGATTTCTATTTAACATCAACTGGCCACACAAAAATCACCGAGTACGATGTTGCCGAGCTGCTAAACAAAGCATTCATGAAAGTTGCCACTATGCAGAATGCCTCCTCTGGCTTTCGATCGGCAGGCATTTATCCGTTCAACCCAAACAAATTTTCTGCAGAGGAGTTTGCAGCATCAAACTATGCAAATAATCAAGAGATTTCTGTTGTGAGCTGTGAGACTTTACAACCTCAAAGTCGAGACTGTAATACTGTGGAAGAAGATGATAGGCCAAATGAAGGCAATAATTCTGAATCTAGTAGGCCTATTGTTACAAGTGGAGTACCATCTGGCACACAAAACCCTGTGCCTTCAACATCAAAAGACACAAAAAACTGTTTTATGGAGTTTTCTCCACTCCCAAAGAATACTAACACCATCAATGAAAAAAAGGGGGAAAAACAACATTCAGAAATCCTTACAGCCACTCCCATGAAAGTAAAACTTGAAGAAGTTGAGAGAAAAAGGAAAATAAATACAATGAAGAAAAAAGAAAGGGACGTGAAAAAATCAGCCAGAATGTTGAACTTGAATGTAGAGAATAGTTTTAATAAATCCAAGGGAAAACAACTTGTAAGGCCTTCTCAATCCAACTCCAGGTGCAAGAAAGGTAGAACTAAAAGCAAAACAGTTGTTGATGACGAGTCTTCTGAAGAATCTGTAAACGAGCCCCTTTGTCAAGAAGACAGCGACTTTGAAGTCAATGATTTTTTGGACCCAAATGCTGTAGACAAGACTTCAACTGACGTTTGTTCCATCTGTGGAGACATTGGAAAAGACAAAGAGATGTGGTACAGATGTGTGTATTGTTCCGGTTGGAGCCATGCTGAGTGCACAGGATGAGACTCCCCTAAGAATTACATCTGTGATTTTTGTAAATTTAGGTTTTAGTTTTTTCACTGAGTCCTTCATGTTTGTTTTTTAACACAGTAACCTAACAATGTAACAATACTACTGCATTCTAATTTCGTTTTCAATGACGTGTAATAATATTATTATATCATTAAACAAACTTTGATGATAACCTTATATTACTGCTCACCCAAAGTTACATCCTATTTCTGCATACCATGCGCAGTTACCCCACCTCATGCGCACAGTTACCCCACCCCATGCGCACAGTTACCCAGCAGTTGGGGAACTGTGCGCTTTTGCATACTTGTACTAATTAATGTATGTAAAAATATTTATTAGACCGATTAGTTTAGAACTTAATCCTCTGAATCCAGAATATACTAGGAATGGTTAGAAAACGTATTTTTTAATTTACCTATAAGTATACATGACTTATAAGAGATTTAGCTTAGGTGCGCACAGTTCCCCCACTCTCCCCTATGCGTAGCCTGGGAAATGATCCAACTGAGCTAGAATGTTTTTATGAATTTTTAGGGGAGGAGTTCTACGAAATGTTATGCATGGAAACCAACCACTGCTGAAAAAACAATTCCTTGATGAAAGCAGTAAAACCCTGAAATCAGAAGTCCAATGGCAACCAGTTTCAAAGGAAGAAATGAAGACGTACAAGTCAAGTTCAGGCTACTGCTCAGTATTCAAAACCTATGTTGGAATGACAAAGTCGATGTTTCTGTCATACTGGACCTCATGCAACGCTTTTTCAAAAAGGATATGTAGTGTTTCTGGATAATTGGTAATCATCACCACTATTATGAAATAGGCTTACCTCTCTTTTGCGTGTTATGCAATGGGAACAGCAATAGCATCCAGTCAATGCATGCCCTGTGTTTGTTTTGCACAGTTTTAGAAACTAGAGAAGAAATGAGGCGATCTGGGTGAGGTTTGTTGGCGATGAAGTGGAAGGACTGCAGAGACGTTCATATATTTCATCAATGCATGATGGAATCGACATGAAGATATCGAAAATTTTAAACATAAGAGACACTGAGGTTAAAATCAAGAAGCCTAATGCAGAAATCGATTATAATAAAGGAATGTTGGGGTTTGATCGCCAAGATCAGCTGCTGGTGTCGTTCCCCATCATGAGGCGCAGTATCAAAGCATACTAGAAAATGTTTTTATATTTGATGGATATAGCCCTCGTCTATAGCTTCTGCATTTTTCGCAAGATTACCAAGAAGAAAATGCATTTTACAGGTTTCCGTCTGAATCTGGTTGATCAAATCATTTTAACTGTCTTCCTGTCACAAAGAACAACTCCCGGTAGAGCACCCATCGCAGATATCCATTTGCGACTACAGGCACAGAAAACATACTACTATAACTCAGAATGCCAACCGCATGGTAAAAAGCATTAAGTGTTTTGAGAGAGCTTTAGCGCCACCAGCGTTGCCATGCACTCAGCTCGCGGGTAACAACGAGAAAGAATGTTGGACCATGTTGGTCAACGGCAACGTTGCTAGGCGTTTGACGCCAACTATAATGGTGCTCTACCCATATGAACGAATACCAGCAGCCATTGCCCAGGCATTTCCTGATGATTGGGCAATATCCAAAAGCGAGTCTGGATGGATGACCTGCGCCACATTTTTGAAATACATAAGTAATGTATTTTACTGCTATATGTAGTTATGTATTTTTTTAGTTGGTGTGCGTGCACTGGAACCACCTTCCCTATAGTTCTGTTTATAGATAGCCACACTTCTCATCTAAGCCTCCACCTTTCAAACTTTTGTTCAGAAAAGCAAATTGAAGTTGTGGCCCTGTACCCATATTCGACCCATCTTCTTCATCTGATGGACGTATCAGTTTTCCGACCTTTGAAAAGTGGATGGAAAAAGGAGTGGACAAATAAAGGAACGACGGGAGAAGGATGAAGATGGAGGCATTTTCCCCTGTCCTCAAAAAAGTAATGGACAAGTGTCTCACGGCAAAAACAATCCAAAGTGGTTTTTTAGGCAACTGGCCTTATGGATTTAAATCCCGACAACGTCCACTATGGGATCTTGGTAGATAAAAATCGACATCATCATCAGTACAGCATAAGCTACCTCGAGAACAAACTGAAGGACCTTACAAACTACCTTCAATACTCTGAGATGAAGATTGGGATTGGAAAAAAATACAGCGATTCAACCAAGGGACACGAACCCTGGAGGGAGGGGAGGGGGGGGTCTTCCTTCTGAGAGACGAGTCTCTGTACGACTTCTGGAAGGCAGTGAATGAGGACGTGGCTGCCTTCAAAGCAGACATTGCCAAACGGCAGAAGGGCAAAATCCAATCCTCCAATGAGGAAAACCTCCAAACTCCAGCCAATGAGGAATCTGAAGGATCTTTAAACATTGATGATCCAGATCCTACTGATGATGTAATAATATTGTTTATATAATTAGTTGATAGGTTGTTTTTGTTTTAGTGCAAGACGATCCAAAACATGGATAATATCTTGTTGAATAAAGGTTGCTTATGAAAAGTCATGTCCAGAATGAATCAAAGGAACATAACAGCCATAAATAACATTTTAAGTGACCTTAAACATACAGATTTCATCTTACTAATATTAAAATTAATCTATACGAGAGCACGCCCAAGTATGTATTGTACAAATTTCTCTATTTTCATCCCACACTGTAAATAAAACATGTGATTGGAATGTCTTCCATTTGTTTTGATTTTCTGTTTATATTGTGTTGTTATTTTGTCATCACCATAGCAACCCATAAGACCCATGTTAATTTTTTTAAATTTCAAATTCATTTTTTGTGCTTATTTTTGAGCCTATTTTAATTTATAAAGGGATTCTGCACACCTACAGGAAAATAGCTTTCTGACGGTATGCGTAGATTTTCCCTACGATACACACGAGCTGAGAAAAAAGGTTTTAAAGAAACATGCTTGCCTATTAATATATAGATAGATAGATAATTAATACGCCAACACAAAATTTTTCGGTTGAACTAATCCGATTTTATCCATTGACGTGTCATTGGAAAGAGCATGTCGCATAGATTTGAAAACTGACCTTACATTTTTGAAAAAGTCCCTTGAGCTCTGCCCCAGTGGCTTTTAAAGTTCCCATGTTATCCTTATGAAGAACAAATTTGTTTACATTTTGATCAGCCGTATAATTTAATTGCTGTTATTTATTTTTCAATGTTGAAATTAAATATTTACTATTTTAATTTAAATTCGTACATATTACAGTGTAAAAAATCGAGAAAGCCTGGACAATTTGATATATTTTACCAAAAAAGAAAAATGAATTGACAGGGTACTGTATTTCTTGAGCAATCATTGAAAGAACCGATTTGGTAACCAAGGAAACATAGGAAAGTCATAGAACCGCCACCAAGTAGAAGAAATAGAGATTTTAAAAGACATTTACTATCGTTATCATCCTATATAAAGAAAAACACCTACAATATGAAGATTCCTACTGTCTAAAAGGAAGAAAAGTGATGTGTGGGACTTGTTAACAAAAGAAAATGAAGAAAGCTCTTTTGCTATCTAATATATACAAAAAGCGTTTATCAAGAGGTGGTAAGTCATATACCACATATAACTTGTCTAAACACATTAGAACTTTTCACGCACTCGAATTTTTGAGTCCTAAAACAACAAAGACAGGAAAATTACCAGCTGCTAGGTTATCATGATGAAGATATAGATCAACCTGGTAGGCCTAGTACTAGTCTAGGAACATCTAGGCCTACTTTACTCAACTTTTATGACTACTGCAGTCCCACATGAGTTGTGCCTCATCCACCCAATCCCCCAACAAAGAAAAGCCCTGCTACATATCCTAAATCAATTCCACTGCCTGTTAAAAGGCAAAAAACAATCCAATAACTTTATGATAGAAAGAATTTACTAGAAATGACCCAAGGGCTGTTAAGATTGGCAATTTAATAGCTCAAATGATGTGCCTTGACCTACAACCAGTATCTATTGTAGAGGATAAGGGGTTTTTAGGATTGCTAAGTCACTTTGAACCTCGGTACAATGTAACCATTTTTGCAAAAAATTTTGATTTACATGTACGCCTGCTGATTTACATGACCTGCTACATAAAATAAAAGATTATCTCATCTATGTCAAACCTGTAGCCATAACCACAGACATGTGGACCTCTGTGGCGAATTGTGATTTTATGGCTGTAACAGGTCATTTCGTCTGCCCGAAATCAAAAGCAATGGTCCACAAGGGCCTCGAGTGTGTGCCATTTCCTTAAATAAGCCACACAGGAGAGAACATCTCAAACTTCCTAAAAGAAGTTTTTGAAGATTGGGGAATAGAAAACAAAGTGGTGGGTACAGCAAGAGGCAATGGGGCAGATATTACTGCTGCTGTTAACAACAGCAAATATGAGGGATACTCATACAAGGGGCCCACACAGTACAACTTGTCGTAAAGGATGGTTTTTTAAACCATTCAAACGTTGTGAAGAAGGCAAAAAAGGTCGTGGGGAGTTAAAAAATAATCTGCGAAAAACACAAAGGTGCTGAAGAACCTGCAGAAGACTCTCAACCTTCCACAACACCGATTAGTACAAGAGGAGCCAACAAGGTGGAACACTACATATTACACATTGAAACGCCTTGTCGAGCAAAAAGATGCTGTGGTGTTGATATATCTATAATCTAATTGATAGTTATTCCTAGTATAGTACGGATGAGTTTCGTTTCTAGTTGTAAAATTTTTCAAAGACTCCTTAACATCTATTAGACAACAGTAAATATATAGATTAGGCAAAGTCATTATTTGTAATTCTTTGAATATTGGTTTACAAGACTGTCTTTGTGGTTTATTCTTGATTGCTCTCAGTGCCTTTTTTTGCCATCCAAGAGCAGTCTGTGCACTGCAAGAGTTGCCCCATAAGGTTATACCATATCGTAGATGGGAATGAAAAAAAGCATAGTATGCAGTAATCAGCATATCTGCAGTAACACAGTGTCTTAGTTTTCTGAGAAGACAAACCACTCTGGCCAGTTTCTTACACAATTGCTCTAAGTGACTATCCCAACTTAATCTGCTGTCTAAATATATGCCTAGCAACTTCACAGATTTAATATCCTTATAAATAGAGCAGTTAAGAGTAAAAATCATATTTTCAGTTTTCTGGTTATTTACAATTAAACTAGTATTGATCTATTGCTTAAGCTGTACAATTAATTATGTTATTGTTTTAACTAAGCCTACTCCTAGAAGTTTTATTAGGTAAGGTTAGTTTGTATAGAAATTAAAACTCAAGAATTGGATAGGGGCCTATTAATGATTTTTTAAAGTACGTGGCTAGTATTTTACAATTATTTTATAGTTGTAACATTGTAATTATGTATTAAATGTGTATGACATTCTAAATTCTACATATAGATAACATGCTCTTGGTAAGCATGTATTGATTTCACAATTTTAAATGCATTCATAAAACATAATTGAATTTGGAATCGGAATCACTTAATGTTCCAAAAATGTTGACAAAATTCCCAATTAGTTGCTGTAAATGCACACTGACAAAACCAATCCTGAATAGTTGCAACAATTTTAGTAATTTGCACTGTGTGAACACCTGGGTAGATATTCTTTATAACTTGATAACTGACAAAACCAATCCTGAATAGTTGCAACAATTTTAGTAATTTGCACTATATGAACACCTGGGTAGATATTCTTTATAGCTTGATAACTGACAAAACCAATCCTGAATAGTTGCAACAATTTTAGTAATTTGCACTGTGTGAACACCTGGGTAGATATTCTTTATAACTTGATAACTGACAAAACCAATTCTGAATAGTTACAACAATTTTTGTAATTCGCACTATGTGAACACCTGGGTGGATATTCTTTATAACTTTATCCAGTCTGTACAAATCTCAAAATAAAAATTAATGTAAAACTTACTGTTATTGAGATGAAAGTAAGGATGAACGTGGCCAAGGGTGGCACAGTTGGCAGAATTGTGTGGTGGAACTCCTGGACCAAACCTCCAGTCATACTTGCTCTCTGGTTGGCAACCTTTATCCCCAAACATTTTGCTAAAATGAAAAATAAATTTTAAGTTCACTAAATATTAAACATGTAAAAAAAAAACTCACACCCCACAGTTCATAAAGTATAAATGTTAGGGTAGAACGGAATAAGAAACATTTGTATTTATAAATTTATGTAGCCTATGTGTTGAAAAATGTGAAAAAATCACACAGGTACCTTGAACCATCCTATATAATATATCATACAAATTTCAAGGTATTCATATATTTTTTAGATACAAAAATCAATATTTAAAGTGGATCCCCTCAAAAACTTTACCTACTGAAAGTCGGGTTTTCTCAAAAATTGTTATTTTTACTAATTTTACTACTGTGTTTACTCATAATCTCTTCAGTAAACATTTTATATTTTAATAGAGCCTCTTAATAAAATGCTTTGTTTTGGTTTTATCTCAATTATATACAGCCTCTATATGTATTATCCTGAATAATGCCCTGTTTCTTATTGCAGTAGACTCTCGCTCATCCGGATCGGCCTTGTTCGAACTCCCGCTAGTCCGGATCGGCAATTGTTTTTTGTCGGCACAGTACTGTTGGAAGTCCGATTATCCCAGCTAAACGGGACCGGGACTACCTCGGATGATAAAAACACGGTTGTAAAAATTATTACCGGTGGAACTGCATTTGCACGGATATCAATACTGTGGACCTTGAACAAAATTGAAAAAAAAAAACGGCTATATACAGTACTGTACTTGCTCGACTCTCCATAGTCCGGATTTTTCGTCATCCGGACCGGACGTCCGCCACTTTAGTCATTGAATAGTCATTTATTCAGTCTTTAAACAATACATTATTGTAATTGACATCGTCATTATTATTGTAAAAAGATATAAGATGCAATACTTATAATTAATAAAATTTGACATGAAAATTCCAAAATATAGGCTGCCCTTAGTTTAACATTTAACAGGTTTAAAATATTTTTTTTTTAAATAGGCAAACTTAACAAACTTAAATTATGAATAATAGTGAATAATAGTGGGTCTTTCTTAAAAAGGCTAATGGTTATCACAGGTGTAACAATGAACATAGAGGGACAAAATTTCTAACATTAGGGTATCACAGATGGAATATGGTAAAAAACATATCAAAATAGTGAACATGAAATATATGAAAATTAATTACAGTAATAAAAATCCTAGCCTAACTTAAAAACAAAATTTCTAACATTATCACAGATGGAATATGGTAAAAAACATATAAAAATAGTGAACATGAAATATATGAAAATTAGTACGGATGAGCGAGAGTCTACTGTAGGCCTACCCCAAATAAACAAATTGGTGGGGTAATAGGAAACATAACTGGTATATATGTAAATACCCCCGCCGCAGCAAACCTGCAGACTAAGCGAATTTCAACTTGTCTGATTACATATTTACTAAAATACTTCCATAAATAAGTCATATTTATTCCCAATTTAAATAACATTAGATATAACGAGTGCTTAGGTTTGCTGCTACGGGGAAGGTAAACAGTGTTTTTTGACCAAACAACAATAGTATAGGATGAAATAAATAAGTTTGCCAAATTTGATCAACATATATCCATAAACAAGTAGGCCTAAACTACAACAGTTTTCATTTTCTCCATAAGAATAACATGGGAATTTTATATTTGCATTTTTTTTTAATTTTCTTTGTGACCGTTAGGCATACAACAATGCTTCAATATACTAAATTATTTCTTTTTTTAAGCTCTAGAAAATGGTTGGGAAAGAAATTCAAAAATTTTATGTTTTTAGGGTCAAAAATGGGAAAAACCCATTTTTACCCCATAAAACCCCCCATAAACCCCTGTTCCCATGGTCCGATTATGCTGGATCGCGAACTCGTTCGAATAAATGTAGGTTTACATGTTTGTACCAAATTTCATCAAAATTGGATCAATTTTGCTCGAGTTATCGCGCTAACGGGCACACACATATATATATATATATATGAATTTGAACGGATGGTGTTTTTGGCCTCTAGGGACCTCCTTTAATTGATTTTTCACAGTAAATCTTCTAAATTATTTTGTGCTGAAGACCAACCAGTATGCCAGCGACTGTATCAATGGGCATATACACAACTTAACTGTAAATTCACGTGCCAGAGATTGGAAAAATGTAACCCACCCGGAAATGAAGACCTTCATTGCCACAATTATGAACATGGGTCTGGTAAGAAAGCCGACTATTTAAAACTATTGGTCGACAAAATCTCTTCAAACACCTTGGTTTGGCAAAATGTTTAGTAGGAACAGGTTTGAGTGTCTGTTGCAATTATTCCACATAGTCGACAATAGCACTTTGGCTACACCAGGAGATCCAAATTTTGATCCCTGTGCTAAATGGAACATGCTGACAGGATTTTCAGGACCTATTAGACCTCTCATCGTGAGATTTCAATTGATGAAAGCCTGGTTGGCACTAAGAGTCATTCCCAAATAATGCAATACCTGCCCAACAATCATCTACATCGTTGGGGCATCAAAATGTGGATGTTGTGTGACTCTGTCTCCAGGTATTTTTGTCTTTTTAGCTATAAAGAAATCAAGAACAAGAGAAAATCAACAGGACAGGAAAGGGATCCACTCATCAAGCCTTTAGTTCATTTAGTCAACGCTTCGTTCATTTCAGGATTTTTCTAGAGCAACTCAAAATTTCAAAAGTGGTACCAGTCTTATGGTTTTAGACAGGACAAATCTGACAATACCGCTCTAATCAGTTTCATTGAGTCAGTAATTAAATCCATGGATAAGAAAAACATAGTACCTGGTTTTTTTTTGGATTTATCTTAAGCCTTTGACAGCATATCCCGTGGCATAATATTTGAAAAATTAAGTAGTATAGGCGTCAACAACTCATATTTAAATTGGTTTGAAAGTAACCTTCAAAATAGGAGTCAATATGTAGAAATATCAAAAAGAGAAGGAAATCAAGTTATAAAATATCAATCAATTTTGCAACCGATCAAACACGGGGTACCACAAGGGTCAATACTTGGACTTTTATTATGTATTATCTACATCAATAATACGCCAAACTATCTAAGTAAACTTAAAGACATAAAAATCAACTTATACTATATGCAGATGACTCTAATCTTATTATGTCTGCAAAGACTGGCTTGGAAATGGAAATAAATTCATTCATGGAATTAGGCAAACTTCGGGACTTTTTTTCTTCCAATAATCTAATATTACACTGGCAGAAGACTAATTACATTCATTTCACTACAAAACAAAACCAAAACAAGAATGATTTTAAATTTAATAGAAAGGGTAGACACAACAAAATTTTTGGGAGTTTATATTAATAACCATTTTAGTTGGGACCTGCTTACAGACCATCTTTTAGCATAAATAAACTCAGGAGTTTATGTCTTTAGATTGTACTATCTTTGTAATTCAAAAGTTATAAAAAATTTCTTTCATGCCCACTTGCAATACCATATATCTTATGGAGTTTGTGTGTATGGAGGTACAACCAAACAAAACCTTTGTGAAATTTTAATTAGTCAATACCCCTGCCTCAGCAAACCTGCAGACTAAGCAAATTTCCATTTGCCTGACCGAATTTCCACTAAAGTATCTCCTTAAAAATATCACATTTATTCCCTATTTAAATAACAATATTTTAACGAGTACTTAGGTTTGCTGCAACAGGGAGGGTAAAAAGGTATTTTTTTTGTAAAATGTAATAGTTTTGTATGAAATGAATGCATTTTCCTAATTTGATCAAAATATGTTCATAAACAAGCAAACTACAACAGTTTACTTATTCTCCATAAGAATAACATGGGAATTTTAAATTTACAGATTTTTGGAATTTTCTCCGTAACCATTAGGCGCATAACAACGCTTCAATATACGACATTATTTGTTTTTCTAAGCTCTACAAAATAGTTTGGAAAGAAATTGCTACATTTCAAGTTTTTAGGGTCAAAAATGGGAAAAACCAATTTTTACCCCATAAAACCCCTCATAAACCCCTGGTCCCATAGTCCCTACTTGTTTATACAGGGAAAACCTCTCAAGTGACCTGTCCTATTGTACCACCAGACTCTAACAAATCTACAACTATTGTGATCAAACTGATGGAACCGTTGTTAGACAAAGGTCACGTAGTATGGATGGACAATTGGTACAATTCGCCAGAGTTATCAGCATTCCTAAAAAACAGGAAAACGGATACATGTGGGCCACTAAAACTGTCTAGGAAAAATGTCCCACAACAAATAAAGGATGTAAAACTTGAGAAGGGGGAAATTTCGGGGGAGTGGCAACGTCATGGTTCTAAAATGGAAAGACAAGCACTACACAATCATGAAATTAAAGCTAGGACCAACAAATCAGGTGTTCAACAAATGAAACCTATTCTTGTCTATGAATACAACAAACAGATGGGAGGAGTGGATCTCAGGGACCAAATGCTTAACAGTTTTCTGTTGGAGCGAAAACGTGGACTCAAATGGTATGTAAAACTTTTCAAGCGCCTTCTCAACATCCTATATCATCCTATATCATCCTATAACATCCTATAGGTTTTGAGCTCTTATATCATATGGAAAACTCAAAACCCAGATGGTAAACACATGGATTTTAGGCTTCAGCTAATAAAGGATCTGATCCACAAGTATGGGGCAGAGGTACAAAGGCCGGTGCATGGAAGGCCAGGCACGGAACCTAGGCCTGCCAGGCTTACCGAAAGACACTTCATCGAGAACATTCCAGTAACAGGAAAGAAACAATATCCCCAGAAAAGGTGTGTTGTGTGTTGGAAGCATGGTGTGAGAAAAGATAGTGTGTACTGGTGTCCTGACTGCCAAGCTGGACTTTGCCTCATCAACTGTTTCAAGGATTATCACACCAAACTTGTCTTCTGACAGGTAGGCTTGTCAAATAAATACTGTTAATTTGGAAAATACTTTAGTATGTGTTATTTGTAGAGCAATTATAAACCAGTTAGGTAAAAAATTCTATTAATATGACATATA